ACTTTTGCATATAATAATACGTTTGGCTTGTCTTGTATGCGAGATGAGTTCTATTGGGCTTGTCTATGCAGTGCATAATTGATTGACGCGATCAATGATCGGCGTAACAATGCTTACCTATCATTTGTATACTAACGGTGCGAATGGTCCACCGAGGGAGAGGGCTCTCAAGTGGTTGCACCACAGGATGATCCTGCATGCCGGTCTCGTCTCACAAGAGGCAGGGATGGGTGTGTTTGGTTCTCCTGAAAATCAATACCCAGTCAATGGGTATATCACTGTGTGAATAAACTGGTTGATCCTGCGAGTAGTCATATGCTTGTCTCAGAGATTAAGCCATGCACATGTCTAAGTACATACCTTAAAACGGTGAAACCGCGAATGGCTCATTAAATCAGCTATGGTTCCTTAGATCATAAATGCTACATGGATAACTGTAGTAATTCTAGAGCTAATTAATACATGCAACAAGTTTTTGAGAAAGAGCAAATCAAATTTAAAAAAATCTATTGATCACAGAGGCAATAAACTCAAACGAAGACGTAGCTACACACACACAACAAATATTTCTTAAAATAAATCTTAGAGAAAGAAAAATAAACAGATGTGTGATCAAGTTTTTATCAGTCTTATTTATTTTTTTTTATTTTTTTTTTGTAAATATGATATTTTGTAAGATTTTCTTAAAATTTATAATACATGCTTATGAGTGTATATATATGAGTGTTTATGTAGAGATGTACAAGGAAGGAGAGCAATGGGTGCTGTGCTGCGCGCTTTAAAACTATTTATGCATAGTTTGAAAGAGAAAAATACTACTAAAAATCTAATAATGTGAGAGAAGGATAGAACAAATTTTGGATTACTAACTGACTGCCTGCCTGCTTCTATTTAAGAATGTTTCACTAGATAAAATAATAAAACAACGTGTTTAAGTTGAATATTTCACTCTACATTCCCTTGATACATTCGTTAACTTGTACTTGTGTCTGCCTGTAGGTGTATTCTTGTGTGTTCGCGTGAATGAGTGTGTGAGTTGACAGAGGCAGAGGCACACTCAGCGAGAGAGAAAGAGAGAATGAAGAGAAACTACATAATTCATGTCAAACAGTTCTTGTTTCTTAAGTAAAAAATTTGACTTTAAAACAAGTATACAAAGATTATCATGTCAGAAATTAAATTCTATGCTTAAAATTTTGAATTCTCTACAAAGCATTAAGAAAAAATAATGCGACTTTTTTCTGAAATACTAGTCATAAAAAAGAATCTTCTTCGAATCAAAGTTGATTATAACTTATAGAGGCAGTTCAGTGTGTGTGTTCTTCAGTGTGTGGAGCCGTCTAGTCTTACACAACAATCAAAATCTTTTGGGAATCAGTTGTGGAATTCGATCTGGAGGGTCGGGGGAGGGTGTTAAGAGTCTCACAATTCAGTTGCACACCTTTCGGGACTCTTTCTTTAGGAAGGCATAAATGCAACCTGAGGTTATCACTGGTTTCATGATAAAGTCTTTAATAGATTAGTATGAAGCAAGATAAATTTGAATTTCAAAGCGAAGATAACTTTTCAGCATATTTCACTAGTTTATGTGATATAGCTGAGTACAGGAGATTTCCTGACTAATTTCGGAGTGATGAAGGCTAGTCTTACCATTTCGATACTGACTGGTTTCGACATTCTCATCCGTCCCGACTGCCTGCAGTCGAAACAATGCTGCATAAATGAGTGAAGGAAGTGATACCTTTCAAATTTATTTTAGTTGATAGTGACTGGTTACTTTCGTCATCTCCGTCCTGTCTTTGTTACCAGCCTCTCTTCCAAATATGTTGGCTTTCGCCTTTAGGTGTTCGAGGTTTTTTGACATTAGGCATAGATCAAGCGTGAAATTCAGATCTTCCAGAGTCTTCATGTTGGTCCAACGTACTCCTGTCTCCTCGCTCCTCACAGTATTTCTCATAATTCAGTCCATCACGATTAGGAATATCATCGGTGATAGCAGGAAGCCTTGTCGTATTCCCATATTAAACAAGTCTAATATGGGGTTACATAATGCCCGCGTTATATCCTTATGTTAATGAGAAATAAACCCCCTTTGAAGAGCAATGGCACACTATTCTAGGGAGAAATGAGAACTAAAAACCTCAGTTCTGACATCTAATATTTAGGAGCTAATTATGTAAAATCTGTAGTGAATAAATTTTCGAATTCAATCTTACTATATTACTGACAAAGATGGACGTCTTATAACTTTAAATAATTCTATAGGAGTTGTCGTTACTATAAATCAAGTGGTCAGCCTTTTCAAGCAAACGTCTTATGTTTTATTATATTAAATTAGCATCAACCTATGAGCAGAAGTGGCTTCAGTCAACTGTGTTTTCCATTAACCTTGTCATTAATAATAACAACTCTTCAATACAACAGAGATGTTACAAAACAAGGGACTCTAATAAGTCTCACATTTAGTGATTTGTAGTTAAAGCATATAAATTTTCACTTGAAATCCTAAAAAAGATGAAAAAGTACACAACCTTCGTGTTGTTCTATCAAATGAATCCCAAGTGTTTATGTTTAAAGTTTTTTTTCACAAACGGTGGCATCTTTGAATGGAATTTCATCGAGGCAGGTAATCCATTAAACCAACTTGTTTGATTGGTATCAATATTGGCTATCTAGTCTGCAAAAAAGTGCCTTCTTTTACTGTCAATTTACTTAAAGTAGTCATGATTTTATCCTGTTGCAGTAGTGTCTTTGTCGTAGTCTGGACATGACTTACCAGTGATTAATAATACTTATTAGAAATCTGTCTAGCTAAATGAAAGTATCGGTTCACTTTTCTGTAATCTTCTGGGGGGGGGGGGCGGGATTATCTATCTGAAAGAACAGTGTTCATCAAATATATTATCATCCCATTTTTTATTTTCAATGTATAACTGCTGAATTGTATGTTTCACTATAGTAATCTGCAGCCCCGAATCAGTAGAAGAAGAGATCATTCTTTTGAGGAAGACACTACTTGAGAATGGCTATCCCCCTCCCACGCATTATAGATAAACACATAAAGCCGGAAATCAACAAAGAACAACCCATCTCTATGCCGAAGAAGATGTTATACATGAATGTGGCGTTCAAAGGTGACCTTCTGGCCGACATCATAAACAGAAGAATATCTAACGCCCTGAAAAAAGCATTCTCTGCTGCTACATTACGACTGGTATTCTAAAGCTGTCAATTGTTCTTCAACAACTCCAAAGATAAACTATCGCATTTGATCACTTCTGTGTGTATCTACCAATTTACTTGCTCATGTGGAGCAAGATATATAGGTCGTTCGATGCACATTTTATCTAAAAGAGTCAAAGAACATTATCCCACTTGGCATGAGTTCCTTCAGTGTAGTTGCAAGTAGGCCTTGCCGACTGGTGAGTGCCAACTAGAACGACACCTAGTTGAAAGGCTTCTTGCCGATTGCCTTCAACCATCCAATACCAACAATTAAAGGATGTGTTTTATTATGTAAAAACAATAGATATTATTATTACTATTATTATGTACACAAAATATATGGAAATTGCATGCATTCATTTTGAAAAATAATTGGCAAAATGAGCTTAGAAATTTATTCTCAAGTGTCTTGATAAATGTATTTGTATTAAACAGTTGTATTCATATTTTCTGACTATTTATTTGTAAAACCTGGGAGTACTGGACAGCTGTCTCATCCTAGTGTTCGGGACTCTTCATCAGTACGTACCCACCACCAGAGTTCGAACCCAGGACCTTCTGCTTATAAGGCGAGCTCGTAGACCGGGAGGTCCTGGGTTTGAACCCTGGCGGTGGGTGCGTACTGATGAAGAGTCTGGAGCACTAGAACGAAACAGTTGTCCAGTACTCCCTAGTCTCTATTCCAATGGTTCTCTAACCGATGACAGCTCATGATGAAATCCTGTAACCAATCAATCAAATCCCTACAAACCAATACTTGAATATTTATTTGTAGTTAAATGTTGAACAATAAGACAATGAATTTAGTAAACCGTTGTAAAACACTTAGTAATAGAATTGTTAAGTGTACTTTCTCATTATGTCATTTCATGTTCAAATGAATTCATTTATTTCTTTGTTTCTGGTCATGTTTTTAGTGAAATAAATTAGTGATCTTTATTAATAAATAATACAATAAGGCATCCATCCATCATAGGTTGGTACTTCTATTGAGTGAATTAACCTATTGGTTGTCTAATTGATAGAATGTCCTATTGTGCAACTATGTTACAGAAAATATACGTGCGGAGTTTACTTTCATTTTTATTCATTATCACAGATGGTCGCTTTTGTTGTATACTTAATTTTCTTTTCCCACAGAAAAAAACTAATAAAAAGCTGTTGCTTAAAGCCTACTCTACTTTTGGGAATAATATTATTATTTCCAGTTTACTACAATAAGAAATATCATCAGGGATAGTAAGCCGCCTTGTATTACTCCTGTATTGACTTCAAAGTCTTTGCTTGGCTTTCTGTTGTCAGTACTTTGGTATGTGGCATAATCATATAGCTGTTCAATGAGGTTTGTAAAGGTTTGCAGTAATTCACTCCGTAGTGTTGGAGTTCGCAGTCGACGCTATCGAAGGCCTTATTCAAAGTCAATGAAATTGAGGTAGAGAGCTGAATGAATGCGTAGCACTGCAATTCAGCCCCAAAATGATGTATTATCAGTTCTCTGAATTACCTAGTCGACTGTCTGTCCTTTCAGGTTCCAGTAGGTTCTGCCCCAAATGAACAAAATGACTATTCGGCGTTTAGATCACTTTGATCTGATCTATAAACTAACAAATGTAAATCTCAACACATTTTAATCAGAACAATATGCTCTTAAGGGGTCTCTTTGTCTTATCAAGCAAACTAAGAGTAAAATATTGATTTTTAATATCCTTATTTCTCGGGAATAATATCTGAGGTAATAAGACAGGCTGAGCCACAAACCAAGTGAGAGCGCTTACATTTTGATCAGGTCCTAATAACAACATTGAAAATGGAAAGCTTCTAAAAGGTAAGTTTTGTTTTTAAACTAATGAAAACTGCATAACGAACTGGAGTTGATGAATACTCAGTGTTTTTTGCGTTACAAAGGTTGAATTTATATTCAGGTTTCATGATGCAAAAAATATCACACAGTCAGTTGCATTCACAGTCAATAAAGCAGAATACTTTTTGTGTTTCCCCTCTTTCTAGATGTAGCTTTTTTATTCCTTTGCGTTCCAAGTGGAAAATGGAGATCCAAGCTTGAGTATCGAAGTTTCACTAGGGGTAGTTTGTTTTAAGGAGTGGGGGTTATTAGATTCGCAACCAACCTTCCTTCTTTACTGGGCTTACCAACTGCTAGGAGAGATTTATTGAAGGCATCAACCGGGACCATGCGAGTGACTGGCGGGGATTCTACTACTGAACAGTCGACGTACTATATTATAATAGAAACTTAACTGAAGTAACCTTCATAGATCTGATCACGTTTATGGAGACTAAACCGATTTAGATATGATGGAGAAGACACAAGACTAAACCGACTCTCAGAAAGTGTATTTTTATGCCTAACTTTCTAAACCTACATGTTTGTCCTACTAGCTAGCTAGGAAAGGGTGACTGAGTAGTTAAAGGAATTAGATGGTTAAAGTCAATCGGCAGGAAGCCTTGCCTGACCTAGGTTTCGTGCTAGTTGGCACTCATCAGTCAACAAGGCGTATCTGCAACCTTGAAGGAACTCATGTCCCTTGTGAGATTCGAACCCGCGTCACCCAGTGAGTGGTGCAGTCAGAGACGTTACCACTGAGCTATTCAGGCTCGTGACTGACCTCCTGTAGGACTGGCTGATGAGTGCCAGCTAGCACGAAACCTAGGTCCAAGGCGTCCTGTCGATTGACTCCAACCATCTAATACCAACAATTCACAGTGCATCGTGATGGAAAGCCACCTAGTGCCATAGTTGCCACATTGCAAGCTTGACTGATAGAATTCAGTCTGCGGCGAAGATAGGACTAGACAAATTACACTAGTTACTAACTAGTGTGCAATCAAAAGTTGAAGGAATCAACAGTAAAATCAAGCGATGTTATACAGCAGGCTGTTGTAAATACTTGAACCGAATGTATTGCGAAACTTTACATCAGATCGTACAACTGTAGCTAAAACACATATCTCACATTCACAAACCTTTAGTTCCACTCTTTTAAAATTACTAGATTCATGTATAACTAGCAGGGTCCACCAAATCTGGTGACAGATCAGTCACTCGCCTGTGACATTGGCTGGCGGTTGAGCATATATATATATATATATTATTTATATATATATATATATATCGCGAATTCTCTAAAACTGGAATTCTCGGGACAGTGGGTCGAGGCCCGGTGGCTGAGTGATCTACAAGCTTGCCTTCTAACCGGAAGGTCCTGAGTTCGACCTCCGGTGGGTGCATACCGTTGAAGAGTCTCAAAATAGGACAAAACAGCTGTCTAGTAGTCCCAAGTTTTCCAATGGTTCTCTAACTGATGTCATTTCGTAACCAAACGTGTAACCAATCAAATCCCTGCAAACTAATATATATATATATATATACATATATATGTATAACCTAATCCATTTCACACATCAGTTCCTTTGTTCTTTTGTTTGTTGTTTTGTTCCATACACAACGTCAAAATCGATACAGTGACTTTGTTTTCTCTGTCTAAAGAAAACTATTTGTACCATATTTCCATATTTTTGTGGATACGATGCATGAATGTAACCAGCAACTGTATTCACACTCATAAAATATAGCTGACAGTCAATAGAAGTGAACAGGGAATTAGGCTACCTTCAAGTCATTGTGTGGTGTGTGCTACTGATAAGATTTATCAGTAGTGTATAAAGAGACATTCGTCGGTATAAAAATATCAAATATCAGGGAGACAGATTTGATCTCAGAGAAAGCAAATGATACAGCGTTGCGGAGAAACATGGGACACGTAAAAGGAAGACAAAGGGCAGAAATAGCACAACAAGGAAGATCTGTGGAAATGGTGATTTGAAGATAAGGTGTAGATAGTTTCGCTATACTGAGATACGAAATAACAAATAAACATTCCTTCCTTTATCAAATCTCTCATCCCTACCGTCACAACTGCACTAGTGTTCAGTTGACGGAGTTAATAGGAGGCGATTCCGTCCTTTCAGATTATCAATATCACTTCAGTTACTAAATTTCCCTTTTATTCCAAATTTATTTCAATAACTTTCTTCAGAAAAAGAAAATGCCTTAATGATCTAAAGTTCTTTTATTTTAGGTAAGCTAAATTTAGTACAATAACCTTAAGCAACAAAAAGTATGATTTAAATTGGTAGAAAATGTGATTTGCTATAAGATTTGGTCTGTGAAAATACCGCTCATAAATGACTGAGATAAAAAGGTAATTAGTAAGGTGATTCCTGTTGTTGGGTTCCCCTTAGTAATTGCCTATATTATTTTACAAGTACTTTACATGTGAGAATTAAACTACATGAACAAAACAAGAAGAAGAACATATTGAACAGGATAAAATGATGTCATTATATACAGCCGGTTCCCTTTATTAGTGTACAAAGGCGAAGAAGTATCCATTAGAACAGAAAACAGAATTAAAGGTGCATTGAAAAGAACATTTACCAACACTAAACTTATTCCAATGTACAACACAGGATGCTCGTCAACCCAATCAAAAGTAGATAAATATTCTGCTCAGCATGTCAACTCCAATTGCATTTACCAATTCATTTTTACAGTTGCGGCAGCAAGTACACAGGAACGCGCTATTTAGAAGTATGTAACGCATAAAACGTGACCAGCAGGTTAGCACGAATTCTATAGATAATCTTAAAGTCATGGTCAGGGTTGGCAGAGTGACAAGAGTCGATTAGGTGTTCTCGAATAGAGCTTTGCATACACTTCCTTTCTCCTTTGTTAAACCATGCTGGAATATGTTCTCGTATCCGTGTGGAAAGCGTACACTGGATACGACCAATGTACCTTGCTCCACAACAGCAGGTGAACTGATAGATGCATATGGAGGTGGCCAGACAAGGGAGCTTATCTTTTACAGAGACGCAAGACAACTTGCAGCTGGTGAAGGTCATTTGTAATTTTGCTGTAAAGGACGTCTTACTGACTGCGAAATTACATATGACTTCGGCACTCTTCATCAGTACGCACCCACCGGGGTTCGAACCCAGGACCTTCTGGTTACAAGGCGAGCTCGTATACCATTAAGCCACTGGGACCCGATCCAATGGTCCATGAATTCTAACTTCTGCCAATTGACGACATAGCGCAACCGCTAGCCAATGTCTTCGGCAAGTATTTGTCCTCACACCTGACCTGCTGCACCCTACTGGTCACGAATTCCCACTGGAACCACAGGTAACTACCTACCTGAATAAGGCCAGTCGCCGGTGAGCATCTCATTAATATTCAAGTATCGGTTTGTAGGGATTTAAAATTTGATATCAGAACACGTAACCTCTGATATTTCATATTTCTGACACAACTTCATTTGTCTGTGTCCTGCTACGAGAACATTGAAATGCCTCAAAGAATTCTACATCTAAACGAGAAAAAGAAGATCACGAATTAAAATGTTGATTTGGAGGGGTTTGATGCTTGCCGGTGACATTAGCTAGTGGTGGCGCTATATCGTGAAATGGCAGAAGTTAGGATTCATGGGCCATTTGATTGAATTCCCAGAGGATTAATGTTCTACGAGCTCGCCTTGTAGTCGGAAGATATTGAGTTCGAACCCTAATGTGCGTGCACTGATGAAGAGTTTCAAACTAGGACTAGATAGCTGTCCAGTACTACAACTGTTCTCTAACCGATGTCAGCTCATGATGAAATCCTGTAGCTAGTCAAGTATTCATTTAACGCCTGAAGATAAAAGTGGGATTATTCCCGACTAGCGTGGATTTGTTGTAATAAACTGATATAATTTCCAAAAAACAAACTAAAATGTCTCGTCTGTTTTCATTTATATGCCTTTTTCCCAAAAAAAGTGTTGAGTAGATGTTATACATACCAAAGCAGTGTTGTTTTCGTTCGCTACTACATACGACTGCCTCTCGAGTGAAATATATGGCTTATAGCTTGAGCTTTACAGGATTTACGACTGACTAAGAAAGGTTTATGAATGTGTCGTTTGGGAATCGAACCCTAACCACATGTGTGTTTGACAAGCAATCTACCAATGAACTATAGACATACTAATCAAAACACTAAAATAATTCACTTAAAGCAACTTGAATATTAAATTGTAATCGATGTAACTGTTGAGTAACAAGTGATTATGCGAATGTACTGGTAAAATTCAAGAAACTAACACTTGAATATCAGTCTAATGCTCATTATCAACTTTCCCTATTCAGGTAGGTAGCTACGTGGGATCTAGCAAGAAGCAGCGAACAGTGGGGTACAGAACGGCGGGTGTGAGGACAAATACTCGCTACGGATGACAGTGGTTGGCGGTTGAGCCATACATGTCATGAATTCGCAGAAGTTGGAATTCATGAGTCAACGGATCAGGTCCCAGTGGCTGAATGATCTACAAGCTCGCCTTGCAACTGAAAAGTCTTGGGTTCGAACCCCGGGGGCACGTACTGGTGAAAAGTAGCAAATTAAGAGGAAACAGGTGTCCAGTAGCCCCAGGTTTTCCAATGGTTGTCTAATCGTTGTCAGCTCCTGATGAAATCATATAAAACGTGATGTATAATTGTATTTGTAAAGCTTCAGACAATTATACAGCTTTGTACTACTAATCTACTTCAATTCTTGGTTTTATTTGCTCAATTGAATAGAATGGAATGAAGTGGTAAAATGTGCTGAATACGTTTCATGGTTTTTCTATTCGCGTTATTGCACGTAACGGTTATCAATATACACCTTATACACACTGTAAGCCCCCCAAAGTAATATTCCCAATAAGAGTGATTATGATATGAACTACAGACCTTCATTAACAGTTGT